CTCATTTAGTCTGCGACACACACTGAACTCTAGGGTTTGACAATGATCTTTCATTTCGTTTTATTTTTCATTTTTCATTTTTTATTTTTACTTATTCAGTTTTCATTTTTGGATTTACGTTTTGAACAATATTTATTTATAGATATAGACATACCAAGTACATATATGTTTTTCATTATACAATACGTTTTGTGTTTAATCATTGATCCAATTTCGCTATGTGTATAAAATTTCTAATTACCATTATTCAGTATTCAGTATTCAAATCATTTCCACCTCCTCCGTCCGTCCAAGGTCTCACTAAGCCAATTTGTAAAACGTTTAGTACAAATACAATAATCTGTATATATATATTTGTTTTGTATGTATAATATACTGATATGTTTTGCATTATAAATATCGTCGTCGTCCTCGCCCCAAAACTATGCTAAACATCATAATTCTCCGATCCTTTTTATCAATTTTGTTCGCTTCGAAAAAAATTGGTTTTTGGGTTGTGCTTGGCATTGGGGCCACGTTCGTTAATCCAATTGTTTTAATTTCTTCCTCCTTATAAACCAATGCCAATTTTTTGTACAATACAATTCTGGATCTTCCAAAAATTTCCATTTGGGTTTTTTCTCATAAGAATCTTGATCTTGTGTGTGGTTACAATTTTCCTCTAGCGTGTCGTATTTCCTTGGGAATGTAAATCGAAATCAAACGAACCCTCAACCTAAGTATGAAACCAATGCAATTTGGCCAAATATCGTTAGGCAACAAGGACTTTTCCAAACTGAAGGCTAAAATTGTGCGATTAAATGCGCTCAACGATCGCTCAAGAATGTGGGCGTGGCAAAAAGTATCTATGTCTGTCTGTCTGTCACCTATCATTCGATAAACGCATCCTTAAACTTTGATCCTTTTTCAGGCTGCCGCGAAGGCATGACAAACATCTTGCTGCTGCGCTCTCTATCTCTGCTCGTTAATTATCAAAAATTCCGCCATTATTTCCGGTTCAATTTCCCTCAAATTAAGCAATTTAGCATTGTGCTACACAAAAACAATTTGGTTTTGGGCCTGGCCTATGGCTCCCGGCCTCGGGGGCTACAGTGGTCGTGGTCTCTAGAGACGGAAGTCCGGCCGCGCTGGGCAGGATTCGCTCTGCCGACCAGTGACTCCTTGGGTGCGGAGAGCTCTAAGTTCAATTTACAAATGTTCAGCAAATCGCCGTCGGCTTGCTCTACCGATCCTACTAAATTCCGTAAACAAATCTCCTGCTCTATATGGTTTCTCCTGCGACTACATAAAAATCTCGGGTTCCTCCTGCCGCCTGCTACATTTTTTATTAATATATACGTGTTCTAACTTTAAGTGTGTGTGGCTGTGACTGGGTGTGTGTGAATGGGTGTGGAGTGTGGTGTTTGGTGTGTTCCAGTGTGTGTGTGTGACTGCCGGTTGTGGTTTTCTTTTAGAAAACCCCTTTGGTTCGCAGGGCAGCGCAGATGTAGAGCAGGGCGGCAAGGCCCAGCAGCTGCAGCCGGGGGGATATGGAAGCACTTCCCGAGTCGCCATCGCAGCCAGTGCCTGGTGGGAAATAGAGGAAAGGATATAGTTTATAACGCTTCCAGGGTTCAAAATTCAGATAGATCATTAATGGATTGTCATGTTTATGTGGGCGGTTCTTGATATTTGGCAGTCCATCTCCCAGGACTAAGCTATGTATATATTTTTATCTGCTGCTCTTTATATATATATTTTCATACTGTCAAAAATAATAATAAGTACATTTTGAGAAAGAAAAAGCAATAAAGCATTGGGGGGTTTTTTGGTGCGAGTTTCGGTGCTTTGAAAACGGAAAGAAACTTAGGGAGAATTTCACGCGAACTTACCTTTCGGCCGATACAAAAAACTCCCACAGAACGACCTGCTTTGCATTGTCATAACATCATTTTTTATTTTTTTTTTTACATTAATGCAAACAAAGGTTCAGTCAAAATTCGTGTGCTAATTCATTCGAAAGTTGTTTGGCCACAACAAACCAGACAAGATTCAAACTTCAAATGGTCCGGTGAGGTATCAGATTTCAACACATGCCGAGCTAAGCCCGGCCGAAATATCGGCCGGCTTAGGGATAACTTGCTCAACTACTGACTTATAGATTTTATAAGCCCCCTTTCCAAGAGAAGTGCAAGTGTGCAAAAATTACTTAAAATCAAAACTAACCAAAGTGAAGCCAATAAAACACAGCGAAGCAAATCAATTTCGAAATCAATCTTCGGCAAGCTTGGCAATAAATCGCGTTTATTATGTCCGAATTGTTCATATTTCTTAAGCCATTATAAGGCACAGGAAAAAATCTTGAGGTACTCAATTTAAAACATAAAATAAATTATATTTAAAGCAGAAAATATCTTTTTATTTATATTTATTTTACAAAGTTCAGTCAGGTCTCAGGTTCTCTTAAGTTAATTTACATTTCATTGCCATAAAGTCTACAAATCATTTTTATCTCCCTGAAAAACTCGATCCATAAGATCAATAATGTTTTTCTCCGTGTGCCCACACTCTGTCGCGTGCATTTAATTTTTGCTAATTTGAATTTAAAAGGCTGACCAAACCATAGATTATACGCTCGGATAATAAAGAAATAAATTGGCACAGGCCGCAACAAAAACTACATACAAATTAAACACGGCGAACATTTGAAACACGTGTCGCTAAGAGCCAAGTTAACAAAACGAAACGAAATGAACTGCCGCCAAGTGAGACAGAGAGAGAGAGAGAGAGGGAGAGAGAGAAATAAAACAACAACAAACAAAATAAGAGAAAAGGCCATACAAATGCAAACCAAAAGATACAGTATCTACGATCCATTCGGTTCGTATCTCGGTCCGTGCACGCGTGCGCCTGAGTTATGACACGGCAATCGGTTATTTATCGCGGCCGGTGACATTTCGCGGTGCGATCCGAAAGCCAGAAAGCCAGAAAGCCAGCGGTGCCAGCGTGTCTGGTGGAGCAGCAGGACAGGAGGACCAGCTTACCACCAACCGCGAGAGGTGGAACAGTGGAGCGACCAGTTCCCATTGTTTGGGATTAATACAAACTAGATCTCCGGTGAAATTTTAAATGGCCATTAAGCCAAATGGGTAGCTTTGTTGGCAAGCGCTGTTGGCCATAAAGAATGAACCGCTACATATACAAATGCAAATTAATTAATTTGCCAAAGCCAGAACCGGTTAAAGCCTTGGCTTAGTCTTTAACTCTTAAGTTTTGGGGATCGGTCTTCGATTTTAGTGGTTTTCGGTTTTAAGGTGAATCGGGATAGATCTGTGCTGGTGCTAAGTGGCAACTTTTACCGCAGCCAGATCTAAAGTGGAGCTTGTCATATCCCAAAAGTCGGCGAATGATCGATAGATATATCTGCAGTGAGAGGCTCTGAGCCTTCCCCCTCACCCGAAAAAAAAGAAATAAAATAAAAACGTCCCCAGTTCGTTCCCCCGCTTAATTTGCATACCTGTTCGCTGGATCAATCGCATTTATGTAAAACCAAAATTAGCTGCTACAGCAACAGCAACAAAACTCCAACATGGCTAATTAGCATAAATTAGGTTTTTATTAATTTGCGAGACAGTAATTTTCTTTTTTGTGCCACTCATCGACCGACCAGACTTTGTGGCGCGGCATTTGCGATGGTGATCTTTCACCCAAAATGCCATAAATCTATCCACTTGGCCACTTTTACAATTTTAAGTGCAAACATATAAGTTTGGGACGCCCACAAAGCTGGCAATTTAAGCCATATATACCTAGAGACATTCGGCTTTTATGGGATTCGTCATTGATCATTGTCAGGGCCAGGTAAAGGTATATATATGTAATGGAGCATATGGCATATGCATATTTACATTTCTTTCTCGGTCAGTCGTCCGATCTGTCTCGCAACTCATTTCCCTGATTGATGCTCACATTTTGAAAAGCTGACACCAGCCATAAATAAAGCCAGCAGACGGCGGTGAATGATGCTACGCATAAATGAAAATAAATTAAAAAAGCATAACTATAAAATCTTTCACCGAAATAAGCACGTCAGCTTATTCTGACTCATGATTTTGCCACCGAGTTTGGAAGGGAACTTAAAGCCTTTACGGGTAAGACTTACAGAGGGAAAAACTACAATCAAGTATCCGGATTGAGATTTTAAAAAAGGGTTTTAAAATGTGCCTATTTCTTAGAGTGCTTCCTTTGAAACAGAAATATACTTTTAAATACTTATTTCTTAACAATACCATAGTAATATGGTATATAGATATACATATATGATAAGTCTTGATAACTTAGACAAGATATAATAAGCAGAATGAAGTTGAAGAAGAAATCATTTTTAAATTACTAATTATAATATGATAATCATTTAAGTTTAAAGAAAATACATCATGTCATATGTCTATCAATATCAGAATGTCTATAGAAATATTATGTATATGGAATTATAAATAACTAAAAACCCTTGTTTTATTTCTTTCTGTGCTGTTTCAAGCCCTCATCAATCACCCGTGTAGTAAGTGTTGCATTTAACTTATCGATTCAAGTGACACCTGTTCAGAGTCCCTTCTTGGATGAAAGTCTTTGTAATAGACACAGTCTGGACCCTCTTATCATTGACACCTTATCCAAGTGAATAATCCACTCTCGGGGAGGCATATGTTTCGCTTGACCAACTTGAACCCGCAACCAAAAACCCAACTTGTTTCGTCTCCGCTCGAGGTGTGGTTTCATGCGGATGATGCCGACAGCCATTAGCGGGCTTAATGCCACTTTTACGATATATCGTAGCGAATACGAAATTTATGTTAATTGTATGCCAAACTTACTCACAAACGAAAACGACACAACGCAATATTTGAGTACAAAAAAAAGATAACATGAAAAGAGCCAGACACAATACCCACGATGACTGTACTTTCATTCACATTCGGATCGGAGTCACTATATAGTATATATATAGAATTATAACTCACCTGCCCAACTCCTGACTTTCGGCAAGTAATCGTTCCAGAAGGAGCAGCGTGCCGCCAAAGGACCTCGAGCCAATTTCTCGATCTTATCGTCTGTGCTGAAAATGTAGTAGACGGGATCTTCCTTGGAGAAGTTGGGCCACTCCTCGCCATCCTGGGCGGGGTTGCTATATAAATTAATTAAATATTTAAGAATTCATTTCTTAAGATGTTTTAAATTTCCTCTCACAGCTTTTTTTTATAGCAAACTACTGGTTTGTTACCCAACTAAAGTTTGCCATAAAAGCGAAGCGTGGTGAAAAGCTATCACATACTCACCCCGTCTTGGCAAACTCAATGACCGCGCTGAGCATCCTTTTGCCCAGCTCCCGCTCCACAGGACGATACTGCAGGGAGTTGTTCAGCGGCTGGCCAAAGAAGTACTCAATCTCATCGCCATGCAGCACGCCCATCCACTCGCCCCACAGCGAGGTGCTTGTGCGCTGAAAGAGGCAGCAAAAAAAGTGGAAAATGAAAACGAGCCAGAGGAAAGCCCTGCCGAGAGCAGGAGCTATCGTAAACCCGGCCAGAAATTATGCAGATAAACATCTACCCTTTTTATTTATTTATTTGATTTTGCTGGCTGGCTCGCGCTCCCTGTAAATTGTAAATATTGTCGCAGCATGCCGCGCACTGGAGCGTCGAAGGAAAACGAGCCAAAAAAAACGAATGAATAAATAAGTAAATGCCTGGTCGGCAGTCAGTCAGTGCCTGTGTCGCCCTTGACAGGAGGCGGTGGGCATTAAATGCTTCCATTTTCACGTATCTGCCATACATTTGGCAAGGCAACTGCAGCTGCATTCGAGGGGATGCGGAATATCGTGTGGATTTCCTTTATTTTTTGCAGCAAGTGTACGTGCATTGCGTATACGCCCAGTGGGACCACATCGAAGACTTTATACTTCTTTATATAAAGTTGAAGCCTTTAAATCGGGTTCATTTAGAACAATTTATACCCATACTTGAAGTATTTTTAATTATAATAAATAATATATTACTTAATAACATTAATATCTCTCAACTCCCACTGCATTGCGTATACGCCCAGTGGAACCACATTGAAGACTTTATCCTTCTTTATATAAAGTTGAAGCCTTTAAATCGGGTTCATTTAGAACAAGTTATATAAAAATATAACACTAACTCCTATAGATATGTATAAAATATATGTATAACAAGTTCCCCTGATAAAATAAACCTTCCTTGAATCTATTAAAAAGTCTCGTACTCTCTGCTCCTTTGTTGTTGTTATTTGTACTCTCTTTGACACAACGACGAGTATCTCCACCACAAATGCTAATTAGGCAATCACCCTTGTAAAGTGCAATGCAAAAGAGAAAGCCCCCACAAACGCGATCCTGCTAGCCACTAGTCTGACCTGGCTAAAAGTCTCGGCCCAAAAAGCCAATGGCTGAGAGCCGTGAGAGCCCCTGAGCCGTGGCCCGTGGGCTGACCACTTAACCATTCAACTTGAGTTGGCCGCAGTCGTGCCGGGCCAGGCTCTGCTTGAGCTGCACCCTGACAGGCTGGCAGGCTGGCAGGCAAGTGCCAAGTCGCATAATGAATAGTGTCCGGGATATGCCAAGGGTAATTCTGGTAATGCGGGGCTTCTGCTCCATGCTCCCTTTCCCCAGTCCAGCTCCCTTTCCCGCTTCTGCCTGCCACAAGCTGTTTGGAAATTTATGCGACTTGGCTGTCAGGACACACACACATAGCATTAAAAGTCCTGCAGTCGTGAACAGCCTTTTCGTGCAAATAATGAAAAATTGTACGCAGTTGTAGCAGGGAACTAAACTTTTTTGATTTAAGCGCAAAATTGCAAACGCCAGGAAAACTTGGACTCCGGAGGTCATAATGAGAAACGCCATGGTCGAGACAAGTCGTATGGAGTGGAGTGGAGTGAACTACAGTGGAGTAAGGCCGGGACGAAGAGCATTGGAGTAGGAAAACTTATTTAAGTGCCAAGCACGTTGCACGCTGCAGTAGTCAGCGGAGGAAGGCGAAATGAAACAGAAACAGAAACAGGAGCAGGAGCCGGGAAAAGCGCGGAAGGATGGGGCTAGGGCTAGGAAAGTGGGCAGGCTGGTCAGTCAAGCATGTGGCCACTGGCAGCCAAGCAGATAGACAATCTGGCAGGCACTTTAGCAGCTGGCGACCCCATTTGCCATGCTCTGTCGCCCCATCGCGGCCCCGTTTATGGGCAAAGTGAGTTACGAGTTCTGTTGCTGCAACTTGACGGCTGTAATTAAAACTAATTTCATTTGCCTTCATTTACATTTTCCGCCAGCCGTTAGCCGTTAGTCGACAGCCAGTTTCATCCTGTCAACTGCTGCCGATGCTTTTTCGATTATTAACGGACGATTTGGTATAAACAATGCATTCCCGTACGCACCAAGTTTGCATATTGTGCAATCAATTGGAAAGAGCAATGACTCGGTGGGAAAATTGTTTTTATTAACACTATAAACAAGGCAGAGATAATGAGCAAATCAAATGTAAAGAGCACACACTGCGTATGAGTAATATGGAAATGTTGAGTATGGTCATTATGGTCAATTTAACAAATCTCTACAAGAGTTTATACATTTCAGAAATGATAATTATAGAGATTTATTTGTAAATATTAAAGTCACCAAAAAAGTATCTGATATAAATTGTTTCTAAGTGTTCCCTATGCTTAATACGGCTTTAACTACTGCAGTGATTCGTTCAGTCAAATTACCACTTATCATCCAGTCGATATCGCCTACGATTCATTGCTATTAGCATGTATGTATTCAAGGAATCGAAGCCGTTGCCAGAAAATCAATACTATACAGGCCACACTGCGTATACTCAATGTGCGAGCTGAGTATTTGTTAATCATTAGGCCGATCCAACTGGGCCGATATCAATCGACAGCAAAGTAGGACCAGTAGCAACAGCAGCAGCAGCAGCAGCAGGCACCTCAGCCAAAGTCGTTTAAACAAATAACTGACTGAAATTATGCCCCACACGTGCAGGGCATGCGGGCCGTGACCTCGTAAATTGAAGTTTCATTAGTCGAATCCCCGTTTTCCCCGCTTTCCTCAGTTTCAGTCACTGCCTCTGGGTCGTGATCCAGTAACGATTGTAAGTCCTGCGTCCCCCCCCCCCCCAAGGTATTTGTGTGTAGTTGTGTAGTGGCTTGTGTGTCTGCCCGGAGCCAACCTACCCAGCTTGTGCGTGTAGTTTAATTGGCGCCCAACTAGAGTCCCTTCGAGTGCTTATGTATGTGTGTGTGTGTGTGTGTCTGTATATAAACACGTGTGCGTGTGTCTGGGCGAGGGTGCTTCCCCCAGCTGGTGGGCGTGTGTTGCGTGAAACTTTTGGTTACCATAATTATGGCGGCCAAGGTTGCCCGAGAGCTCAACAACGCAGCAACAACTGTGACAACTGCGACTGCCACTGCCACTGGTCCTTGTCCTGCTCCTTCTCCTGCTTCTACCATTGCTCTTGTCCCACCGAGTACCACTGCGACCCTTGCCCCGATAGGTGTGACATTATGAAGTCCAATCAAGTGGATTGCACGCATTCAAGCTGTCTCCAACAAATTGCTTGATTAATTGAAAAATCCACACGGAATGGCCAGACATGTCAGGATAAATTGCAGCTGACAGAGGACTGGTTAGATGTCATAACTAAGCAGTGATTTTTCAATCATCGCAATCATACCGAGCACATTAATTTTACAATTATACAACTAGTACAGTACAGAACAAAGATCTGACTGATTAACTAGGGTTAACTACTAGTAGAAACATACTGACACATGACACCCAATTGATCGAAAGGTTAAGAAAAACACAAGAACATTGTATCAGCCTTTGGTAATTAACCTCAACTTTAACCTTTACTTAAAGATTTCCTCCCTCGTGAACTTTTCCCTATCTGAATAATTATATACAATGAAATAACACTGACATTTCTTCAGGTTTGAGCTATTCTAAGCCACAAGCTATCAACTAGAAGCCGCTCCTGACCTCATTCTGGTTGAAAAAAAAACTTTCACTTTCTGTTCTGCAGATTAGCCCGAAGCTCTCAGCTCTTAGCTCCTCTCCTCTCCTCTCTTCGGACTTTGGCAACGCCCCGTCATCAGGCCAACATTAATTATTAAGGCTTACACAGTCGCGTTGACATTTTCTGCAACCATGACTGCTTCTACTGATGATGATGCAGCTACAGTGCACGGTAAACTAATGAGCTTGGGTGTCTTTCAACTAGGATGCAGGACATTTGAAAGGATATTCCGAATTAAAACGTACAGAGAATGTATGTCAGAAATTAACAAGATAGAAAGGTAACTTTGGTAAGCTGATGTTTATATACTCTACAAGTTTGCTTATTGGATTTAAAAACGATCAAGCCAAAAATTTAGTATTTAAGTTATTCTGTGTAAGTAATCCCAACTCATCCTGTCAAGATATTTGAAGGGACTTTCCCAATTAAATTCTTCTTTTGTTCACAAGACATCCTTTAAGTTGAAAACAAGTTTTCCCCCAGTGCACGAATATCTGCGACAGGTATCCACTTTGAAACTGAGCCGGACTGCTGTCCGCCATTAGCCTTGTGTGCAATTTTAATGACAAACAAATTGCAGTTGCTGCGTGGATTTTTATTCCGTTGCGCCACTTGCGCCCCATTTGACCGCATTTCGATCGGACGCACGCGCTTCAACGCCATCTTACGTGTCAAAGGCTGAGAAATATTTAATGACGGCCAGGCCGTGCAATCAGTGGCTACAGTGGACACTCTCCAAGGCTACGGATACTTACGTGTGTGAAGTAGTAGTAGTGCACGGAGGCACCTCGTTCCGCCAGAGCCTGGGCATACTCGTTGGTGGGGCAGGTGAAGAAATGGTCGCCAACGGCGCGTCCAATCTGCTGTTGGTTCTGGAAACCCGGATTACCCTCCCAGCTGGTGTACTGTAAAAGGAGAAAAGTATTAATAGTTGTAGAGTAAAATTTAAAAAAACAATTGTATATTATCATAAGTTTTCACTTTAAACTGGTTGAATGTTAAAGGATATGTACAAAAGACTTTTAGTCTATCAACTTAAACATCTTGCACATTCTTAAAACATTTTAATAGCTTCAAGGACTTTAAATTTAAATTGAAGTTTGTGAAACCAATATATATGTAAATACCAATTATCAAAATCAATTTTTATATATTTTTCAAAGAGGAAAGTCTCCAATGACTGAAATTATTTCCAAACTCCCATGGCCATGCTTTCCGGCCACAATCATGAAATGAAGTTATCTGTCATTTAAGCCAATTTCCGCTCGACTAGTTTCGGACTGACATTTCGGAATCTCCCAGGACCAACTTATCCTGGATGCTGTGTCCCGGCTCCAATCCCACCACGGCTGTCAAATGCATATATCCACGGATGACGAAGAGTGCCGCATGGCGTGGCAAAATGAAATTTGCTTGCGACAGGACAGAGTAAATGAATAAAGCCACTAAATGCATTTCAATCAGCCAGCCGTCGCCACTGACGTCCATTTAAAATGCTTAGATCAGGCTGCAATGTTGCAGTTGGGGCATGTCGGATGCAATTGCAAGTGTTTTGGGGGGAAACTCACCTGGAAAATGATGGCCTCGCGTTCCGCCTGCGTTGCCTTGCCAAAAATGTTGTTCATAATTTCCAGATACTTGTCCCGCGGCAGAGCCGTTGCATCGTCCTTATCGAAGTAATCGATGAAATCGTACAGCAAAAAGTAAGTGCCTGCAAAAAAACAGAATGGAAACCGAGAAGCGGGTGAGAGATCTCTTAACCAGTGCGAGGTCATGCCACAAAAACAATGGGGATAAGGGAGGAGGACAGTTGGGCGATCTGAAAAAACAATTACCACTACAGACGGTGCTTCAAGATGCCGCCTCGCAGTGGTGGGCCGTGCCAAGGACACCGCTTTCAGCATTAACCCCAGAAAGCAAGGAGGCCAGGACCCAGCAGCAACACCAACAGCAATCATAACACTGTCAGAGGAGAAGTAAGTGAGAGAGTGCAAAACAGAATAAACAAAATTTGTGTGCACCCTAAAACAAGGACTAACCAATAGTCTGCCATAAAATACCTCGTCTTTGGACAAGCATACATTTTACCAACAAAAATGAACAACTTTTCAGAGATCTCTTTCAATCTTCTTTAAAGGCTTACAAACAATTACCTGGTATACCTGGAAAATATCATTCTCTAAAGGAGAATTTCTATCATCTATATACAAAACACAATATACCTTTGCAACCCTTTGATTAAGGGGTACAACAAGAAGGACGAGCGAACAAAGCGGCTCGTCGTCGTTGCCTTTTATTAACTTAATTTTTATGGCACTTGTTGTTAGCCGAGTTGTTGTTCTCGGGCTTTTGTCTTTCTTGCACACTTCAAATACGGGCCACACTAACGAACCATAATTGCTGCCTATGAGCGGTGACAGCAGCAACACAACACAGCAGCAACAGCAACACAACAGCAACACTCACACTTGCAACATCAGGACACTGTCGAGTTGGAGAGAGTGAATCTGTCCCTGTGTGTGGGGCACGTGCAACCCATTCCCAATTCAAAACCATTCTGCTGGCCCTCTGTGTTTATGTTTGCTTCGATTCCATTAAGGTCAAAACCTTATGCAAAGCCAAGCACGAAATGCTCTGACTTGAATTGCAAACAATCTTGAAAAGGCTGCTTGAAACTGTCGTTTGCCAAAGTCAGATGTGTATTTCCCAGAAAAAATGGCTAAGGAAATGCATTTTCTAGCTCTTTGCTTACCTTTAAAGGTTTTCTCAAACGGGATTTAAGAGGGAGTATTTCAGGGAATATTGGAATAATTTATGACATATGTAAGGAATAAGTCTAAATACTCTGATGTTAAATCTTTTAGTTTAAATTAAATTAATTATAATATATTTAAGGTAAGAATATCAACATAAAATATACATCTTCTTTTTTCAATTTGATGCTCAATTTAGTTATACAAACTAAACTTTAGCATTAAATTTAAAAGTACCAAAAACAATGTGACTTAATGTGACATTAAATAATATATTCAATTTTTAACTAACTTTTTGAATAACAAACATATTCTAGCTTGCAAGAGTCTCAACTAAATTAAATGTTCTTCCTTTTGGAATAAATAAACACAAATATCAATATTTCCTTTTGAATGCTAGAAAGACCTTGCGCTTTCCAACTATACGCTTTTAATTAAATTGCCAAAAACATACACACACATTCTGTGGCCACAAAATTTCTGTGCCTTTTTTTGTGCGGGAAAACTCACTGCCTCGCACACACATAAGCGGAATGTAAATACGGTTTTAATGAGTGTATAATTGAGTTAGCAGCAAAAACACGGCTGCCGCCATGGAGAGGCGGGACACGGTTCTGGAGGAGGGGAACTGAGAGTACGTAGTACTACAACTATGACTGCGGAGCCAGCGATAAGTTGGCCGTCTCGAAACGCGAAGCAATTAACGAGCAAACAAGCTGTCTTGCACATATACATATATAGATGGAGGAAAGCCTGCACACATACGCACGTGGGGCTAAGGAGCATGCAACCTCGAGAGGAACTGCCACCAAAAATGAATTATTTAAGCACCAAAAAGTTTCGTTTTTGCGACTGCACTCGCGAGCCATTAAAGCCTCCCGGGAAAATCTGTTATTAAGTCACTTAAAGAAGTTCCTGCGATCAATATATAACGTCATCCTGCTAAAGTTATGTCCTGTCATTTAATCACAGTTAAGATTTGCTTCGGTAGCTAGTGGAATATAAAGGAATACTTGCAGGATGCTTATAGAAATTAACTTGTAAATAACAAAATTAGCTTGGCTTTATTGTTAATTTGCTAATAAGTCTAATAATGTCTCATAAGAGAAAGTAGAATATCCGCAAATAAATTAACATCTTCAGTTTTCATAGGTTTAACATGCTTCAAATAAACCATATCTTTCTACTGGAATTTAAGTTCAACAAGGATACTTAACTATACTATTTGATTTAAACATTAGTGCTCTTTTAGAACCATCAAAAATATATGTATATTATTATCCTGCTTCTGAGAGGATAACAAAGGCCACCGAATTTGTCAAAAACAAACCGAAAAAAAAGGATGCGGCCGCACATCGTAATGTATTTTGAAATTGTATTTGTATTGTTGCAAATGCTAGATGACCTTGAACTCACAAACACACGCACACACACACACGCTCAGCTGAGTAACGGTGCTGCCGCGCTGCCCATGGAAAATGGAGGCAGTTGCCTGGCGGCCATGCACGCACACCTTTTCGGCCAAGAGAAAATAGAAAAGAGAGCAAACACACACACACACACACAGAGAGAGAGAGAGCGAGCCAACGCAGCAGAGAGAAAGCGGAAAAGCAGCAGCTGTGAGCAGTGAGTGAAAGTGAGCAGAAAAGCACACGTGTCTTCTGGCTTATTCCGCTCCTGGCAAGACAGCCGCAACAACAACTGCCCACAAGCGGCAGCAACAAGAAAATCGAAAGGAAAACCAGAGCCAGGACAGAGCACGAACTGGCACAAAAGCCCCGAGAATCTTCTTCAATCTGTTATACGAGAAAACACACAGAACCACCGCAGAACCACCACAGCACCACCCACCACCCCCAGTGCCACCTCCTACCAACAAAAAACCCAAACGACATCCTGCGGTGGCGGCAGCTCGCGAAATAATAAGAAAAGGAAAACGCAAACGGAAAATTTGTTACAAGTGCGCCACTTACACGGCCTGGCACGGAAAAGCTGGCAGCACACAATGCACACAAAGAGTTACGCACTAACATAGATTGAGAAGAATAACAGCAACGCGGAGGATACGAAATAAGGATACGAAATTGGGGCTAAAATTATGGTTGAATCTACACGGAGGCAGCAGCATTTTTCCCCCAGGGAAAAGGGGGAAAGCTTGGCAGCGCCTAGCAATGTGAATTAATGAAAAATATTATTTGTCAGTTAATTAAAACCACAAGACTCTTTTATTGTCTTTAAGAAAGATGCTCAGAGGGGTTTTAGCAAAGATTTAAAACCAACTTATATAATTAAATATGTATAGTTAAAATAAATATATAAACTTAAGTAAGAGCCTGCAAATATGATAGGAGAATCAACAGCAGAAGCTCATTTGCCATGAGGAAAAGTACCCATCAAACTTTTTCTATGAAACTATATGGTTCATTATTGTATTCTAATAACCTCGAGACACTTATATATTACACTTGTTTTTTAAAAGAACTCCAAGGCAAAGGCACTTTTAAATAAAGTAAATTTGAATAACAACTTCATTATCCAAACTATCGTTAATATTATATATTGTATTCAACGGGAATTAGTTTCAAAAAACTCCACAGAAGCTAGAAAACGTAATAAGAAAATCTATAAAATATTACGAGTTTTAGAATTTATGACCCTGTAAATTGCTTAAAGAATATTTCTCGTTAGCCTGGTTAATAAAAAATAATTACCACAAAAACTTTAACTTGACTTTGAGTGGCAATAGTTTTCTCCCCTTTTTCTTCCTATAGTAAAAGGGATCCTGCCCGCCCTTCTCGATTTACATAGCTGTGGCACGTGTGCCACTCACGCGTCCCGTACCGCCCATCGAAATGAGGGCTCGCTTTTCCGCTTTCCCTTTCGCAGACCCCTCCACCCAAAACCCCCCGCTGTCACCTGAGCGAAATATATTTAAATAATTTATGATGCCGTCCTGCACAGCTGAGCGCCATGGCGTATCTGTGAGAGTGCGTGTGTGACTGTGTCTGTGTATGGAGGTTTTTCCTTATTTTTCCCGGGGTCACCGCAATTTGCGTGGGCGAGTCTGGCAAGTTTCGACTCGGCGGCTTTAGGTTCGGTATATTTTTGCTCCAGAGATTCCAGAGCATAGACACTTGCAGCACTCGAAATTTAATGTTAACAAAGCTCTTAATTTGCAATTATATTTCTGAAGTTTGGGGAAATAATTAAGACACAGAAGTGCAACGAAACATAATCCATGAATAAGTCAGTAAAGTCTCGTTGTTATATCCCACATCATTAGGTATATATATTCCTAATCATTATCATTATTCCAGTAGATTTAACAAAACCTCAACCGTAGAGACTACAACTTTTACCGGTTACACTCCACATTTAAAATGTAAAGTTCTTAAAATACGTAATTTCTGTGTAGGTGTAAGCCAAAGCCAAACTACAAACTACAGTACGGAACATTATACAAAGTGCAGTTTTGTGACAGCAAAACCAAAACTATGCTGAGCACAATGTAACCACCACAAGGAACCCCTCTCTGTCATGCAATAAACCATAAAAATTAAGCACTCGAGCCAACAGAAAGTACCCCGAATGCATTACGAGTGCTCGAAATGTGCTGGGGAAATTTGCTGAAAAGCAGCCAGGACTAAGCCAGCGCCTCGGCCCCATTGCCATCCTTAATCCCATCCTTTGCAGCCCGTATAACGACAAGAATAAAATGCATTTTGTCTGCCAGGCCAGGCCAGGAGCCAGGCCAGGCCACAACAAAAACTGTACATAAATATATGTATAGTTGCAGAAAAGTAATAAAATCTCAAATGGACGAGAGCTGTGAGCTGCGAGCTGTAGCAAAAAAGTTTTCAGTGCGCCAAGGAGCAGGATGCAGGAGGCAGGACGAAGGAAGAAGGATACCGGGCTAAAAAGCTTGGCAAACAACATTGGCAATGGGTAGTACTTTGTTTTGGATAAACTTTAGCGCTGACGTCAGCAGCAGCACCAGCAGCAGCACCAGCAGCAGCAGCAGAGGATGCAACAATAGCTGCAAGGACGACCCAGAAAAGGATAAGGGGAAGATAACGGCGGAGACCGTTGGATAAAGTCAGAGAAAGATGCTCGTGACGATGTTGGATGGAGGGCTACACAGGGCTACTCACCCTCATCCCTGACATTTCCCATCAGGATGTCGTAGTCCTTCAGATCCGCCGTCTTCATCAGCGTCATGGGATCCGCTGGCAGGAAGGCCCCATCAATGGTCGGCGCCGAGGGGAAACTGAGGATGCCCGAGTACGAGTTCCATTGTTGAACCGATATGGTCTTGGCGTCCACCGATCGCATGCAGCTCATCACGTGAGCAGGATTGGTCTAATGTCAAGGGGAATTATCATTAAACAATATTATATTTATCCAATATTCTTCGCACAAACTCACCTTCAACATGGAGGCATTGCAGTTGCAGTCATTAATCAGCGCCTTGCCGATCTCCACCGCTTTTTCGGATGTCATGTGGCTCCAGGGAGCATTCATGGTACCGGATTGCATCATACCGCGCTTAACCACGCCCCTGGTCACCGGTGACATGAGCTGCGCATTCACCGAACTGGAACCCGCCGACTCCCCAAACAGGGTCATCCATTCTGGATTACCACCAAAGGCATGAGCATTGTCCTTTAGCCAGCGAATGGCCAGAGCCTGATCCCAGAGGCCCACATTACCGGGCGCCTCCTCGGCAAACTCCGATGGCATCTCCGGTGCCAAATGCAGGAATCCAAAGGCTCCCACTCGATACTGAAAGGAGGCCACTATAACGTTGCCCACGGCGGCCATAATGTCGGCATTGTAAATGTCCAGCGTGGCCGAACCGGTCATGAAGCCACCACCATATATCCAAATCAGAATGGGTAAACCATTGGTTGTGTTCTGCGGATTGCCATTGTGTATGAGATGATCGGTGTCCGCCTGTTTGCCATTGGAGTGCTGATTTAAAGGAGAACAGGAGTTGAGTTAGTAGCAAATAAGTGACCAAATTTAGTTGCTTGACTTACCTCGCCCCCATTCGCACCACGCCCATGTCGAAGACGTGCCTTGGCCGGCGCCCAGACATTGATGTAGAGGCAATCCTCGGATACATTTGTATTGGGATTCCAGATCTCCTCGCCGGAGAAGCCCGGAAAGTACTCGTAACTGGGTTAAAGAAAGGGTAAGAGAGAGTTCTTGATTAGTTACTGACCCATATGCAAATCAAAGGCTGGAATTCGGTCATGCCAATTACGAAAAACTAACCAGCTGTGTTATTTATTTTTATTTGCTCTCTTCCGCTTTCACTCTGGCACACACACTCGTAGCACTCACACATCGCTTTCCCCAACAATTTGACATAGTTTTTCCGCCTTATAAATGTTGAATCGCTCGAATCGATATCCTACGCATTCGCACAAAGCTCAGCATTAGTCTGTCCGTCTCCGTAGGATATGTTACCTTTGGAGCTCCGCATGTGCGACTGGGTGTGTTTAGTTTCGTGTCCATTAAAATTAACTTTGCCATTTCGCATAAAAGTAATTTATCACAGACAGAGAGAGAGATAGAAAGAGAGAGGCGATTTCTCTATGGCTTTCTCTGCCAGCTGTCATTCGCCTTTATCACTATATTTTTCTAATTTCCTTTTGCCACACACACAGCCTTTGATGGGTTTTCTTTTAGGTGTGTGGCTTTGCCCAGCTCTGGAAAAACTTTGCTTTACCAGTTCAAGAGGAAAAGTAAAACACAGGGCAAAAGAGTCTGCTTAAAAAGGAGTAGCTAGGAATAGCATAAGAAAGTGTTAAAAACATTATTGCTTTATTTTCATATCTTTCAATCGGAAAAAGAGTCTAAAATCTTTTTAAATTTACAAAAAAATTAAACATTTTCTATTTCAAAAATGCTTTTACGTCATCAGCTTTAATTTTGCCAACAAATATTTCCCTTCTCTACAGTTTGCAGGCAATCAGAATGCGATTGCAATTGGCAGTGCCAACATGCAGAGCCATGTGTTCGCAAATGGCCCCTTCCGTTTTGGCCGGCATTTCGAATGCGGCCATGACGTCACTGGCAACAGTTAGGTCAAAAGTAAGCTGACACTGCAGTCACACTGCGATTCGTTTTCTAGGTCAAACGCACAAGTGGAGCGAATGAACACCCCCTGAAGCCTCTTTTACAAAATCCACTAAGCCAGTGACGACAATTTGCTTTTTCCCCCTTGTTTGCTGGCCAAACATAAAACCGGAAATCAATGGATATTTTCAAGAGTTTCCCAAATAGTAAACGTTTTGTGATTTTGCAACAAATTCTCGTAAACTTACCGCTCTTGGACGCAGGTGGCAGAGAGTCGTGTGGCATCTAGGACACCGTGCCAGGGCTCCGCCGGCACCGGCTTACGGAAGCGCAGATCCTCGACGGGTGGCTTGGCATATGGGATGCCCGTGTAAACATGCACCTCGCGTCCCTGCACCGTCACCGAACGGCCGCGAACCGGGCCGGAGGATGTCTGCACCACCAGGCGGTCGATGACGCCACAGACGCCGGTCAGGTGCAGCGACAGCACCAGGAACAGCGGCAGTGGCAGCGACAGCGAAAGTGATAGAATGGAGGAGGACTTGGACGAGGACGAGGTGGTGGCGGGCAGAAGGCTGCTCTGCCGTACGGAGGCCATGACGCGAGTGCGCAGGGCGGACCAAGGGGCGGTGAGACGGTCGGCAATGGGCGGCGGTGTCCTACTTTGGCGTGACGTCACTGGCACTAACCACAGCCTCGAGCTGCGCTGCACGAGCTCTGAATACTGGATACTGGATACGATTACGACCCGGAACGGTGCTGGTATCTCTGACAGATTCGGGATGCCTGGCCGGCACAGCTGGCCGCATCTACTATGACTTATTATCCGGTTGTGTTCGCCGCTGCTGCTGCCACAGTTGCCACTTGAAGCTGCCGCCCGTGTGTTACACTACACATTCTCCCGCCGCAGCAGCGTTGAAATCGGGAATCTCTCAACTCTCAGGCTTGGAACTGGTCTGTGGCTAATGTTTTTCGATGTGGATTTAAGTTAGGATTGATATTGGGCTTTCAATTCGGTTTCCTCTGCAGCTGTTGCACTTTTGCAACGCCGCTCCGGCTGCTGGTCCTTTGTTCTCCGGCTCCGGCTGTGTTTGAACTGCAAATAGAAAGAAAAGGCATTATGCTATTTGTCTTGGTTTCCTGGAGTCCGGGGTCTGGGCCTGTATTTGGCTTTAGTTTCTGCACAGAGAATAATGAGTAAGAGAAAAACGACATTTGCTTAAAACTAAGTCTACACACTCTGTCTTACTTAGTTCTTTACTATAAATTTAATGTTAATTATTTGTACTAAATAATCAAATCTTATGGATTATCTTTGAAAGAGACCTTAAAAATATAATATAATAAGCATAAATATATAAATTAATTAAGAAAAAGCATATAAGCCAAGACAATAGTTAAATTTTATACCCTTTATGCATTATTCTCTAATTGTAGTCAGAACCCTTTAAATATGTGAAGGAGTCATTTTCGACCCTATAAATCATATATATTCTTGATCAGCATCAACAGGAATATCTTTCTAGCTATCTCCGGCAAAAAATAAAATGTTCTAAAATTTTTCATTTTTGCAAAAAATTGAAAGGGGTTACATCGTTAAAAATGTCAAAAATTGATAAAATTTTTTATTTTAAATTGAGTTTGCAGATTTATTAATCCAATAAAAACTAGCATAGCAACGCTTTTCGAATTGAAATTAAAGCATTTTTGGCTAAGTTATGAGTTTTCAAACTCCCATTTTTTCGTATAAATGTATTATATTATTATTTTGTATTATATTATATTATAATTTAGTCAGAAGCTTGTAACCCTATGAAGAAGTCATTTCCGACCCTATAAATCTTTAATAAAAAATAAAAAAATCTATAATATTCTTAATCGCCATTAACAGGCGAATCTTTCTAGATATCTCCGACAGAAAAACAAAGTTTTAAATTTTTTTTTGATTTTTGCAAAAAAAGGAAAGGTGTTACATCGTTAAAATTGTCAAAAATGTATCAAATTTTTCATTTTAAATTGAGAATGCAGATTTATTAACCTAATAAAAACTAACATAGGAACGTTTTCCGAATTAAAATATATTAATTTTTGTCTGAGTTATGAGTTTTTAAATTGAAGTTTCCCTCCTTGTTTTGTTATTAAAAAACAACTAATTGACAATACAAAAAATAGATTTATGTATATATAAATAATAGTATAAAATATTCTAAATTTTTATCGGTGCACTACTACTACTGCCACCGCACCAACACCAACACAAAAACAAACGGACGAGTGCAAGTTGACTTGTTGGGTGCTTGTGTCGTCTGCCCCCGTTTGTATGCTGCAATATTTATGTGTTTGCTTTGGCGTCAGTATGAGTGTGTGTGTGTATGAGTGTGTGTGTGTTTACCACTTGAGCTGAGATGCAAAGCTCCTTCTTTCCCGGTCTCGGCATGCATTCAAAAGTCCTGAGTGCCATCCAAGTCCAACCCAAAACTTGGCACCACCGCACCACCACCCGGTGGGTAACCCACACACACACACACACACACACACACCTGCTGCAGAGCCACTCACAGGATTCTCTCAAGTGGCGCATATCGTTTTCTAAGGCTTTTGCCTGCAACGTCGTTAAACATATTTTCTTATACTATGCTTTCATTAGAGTCACTTGACCGATTTAGGCAAATATCCTTTCAAACCAAGCGCAGCGAGGTTAACCAAAAAGGGGAGAGGGAACTCGTATAGAGTTTTGTGCAAAATATATATGACATTCGTTTCAAAAGGTATTACTTTGTAAATTAGACATTTAAATGAGTTTATAGAAAGAAAGTCTTGTTAAATTAAAAGAAAACTATTAATGAAATGGTCATGTTTTATTATTAATCTATTAAATTAAGTTCTGCTTTCATAATTTACTTTTAATACATATGAAGTACTTCTTAGATGTGAAAACTTAAACCCTAATAAAATACATGTTTTACGACCTGGAAATCCATCCGTTGAGCAAATAGTAAACCTGTTTTGTTATTCATCGATAAATTCAACACGGGAGGCTGCAGTTTTCGGCTGGGGAAAACAACAAAATATTTCTCGGTAGGAAATGGCTTTTTCAGTCCTTGTCCTTGACGTTCTCAAGTTGCAGCAAACTCCTGGCGTCAAATTGAGCCAGGAAACTTGACTTGGAAATGGGGATGCAAGGAGCAAGGAGCAAGGAGCAAGGAGTACCGACCCTTGCATGCTGACAGCCCATTAGACGACGGAGCTCGTGTAATAACTCCGCTGCCACGCCTTCGGCCCTGCAGCTGCTGCAGTGCCCCCCCGAGTCCTAAGGACCCTTTTGGCTCCTTTTATGCCGAGCAACTTGTCTGCAAAAGGACAAAAGGAGCAAAGAGACGTTCTCAGCTGGCGCCGCAGTAATTTAAATGTTATTTCACCGCACAATTAAAATGGCATTAAGACGCCAACGAAATGCGAGTTGCAAGTTGGCAATTTAATTTTTACCCACTCTCTTTCTTGGTCTTTGCCATCTAAATTAGCTCAATTTTCTACACGTTCTGGGCGTTTTCCCCGGTTTTCCACGGCAACTGTCGCAATCTTTACTTAACTAACATTTTTTTGCACCCATTTGCTGTACTTACAAGCGCCTGTTCAGCGCAAGATAAGATGTCGTGGGCTAAGTGAATATTTTCCTAACTTCTTGCGGTTGCAGCAGTTTCTCCCATCCACTCGCAGTTTTCTTTAAAAGTTTTTCATAAATTTACATTTTTTTCTGGGGATTTTCTTGAGGGGAAGATGTGGAGCTGTAGGTAGTCGTGAGCACAGTTGTATTTATCTTATTATATTTTACGCAACATAAGCGCTTAGTTTCAGCTGACACAAGCTATTTTTCTTGCCAACTTGCGGGGTGTTCATAAAAGTTGCAACTTCAAAATTGACTCGAGCAGCCTCCAAGCCACCGGAAAATGTCCGTTTGATTCTGAAAAGCAGTCCAAGTTAAATTCGTGGAAAGCGCTTGGAAAATGCAAGAGACATATTTTAAAAGTACGCTTTTATAAGTCAAGAAATAGGTATTAAGAAAACAAGAATATTTCCAGGAAGAAATCTTTGCCTGGGTTTATTTAATATTAAATTTAAAATAAAAAATCTGGTGGCCACACAAGCTAAATAGTTAGAAAAATGTGTGACAGTTTTATAAGAAATAATACTACAAAATACTTTTACTTCATAATTAATAATATTCTTATATTTACATTCGAATTTAAATTAAAGTTTCCTTTAAATCAGTGTTTAATGTTTAAGCATTGTCCTTGCATTAATACCAGTGCTGTATAGTTTCCATTGCTTTGGTTTATTTTCCTTTGGCAGGAAAATGCCACGAATACACACTGCCATGGTTATGATAGCCCAGCAAAAGGGAAAGCGGAATGCGGGGAAAATCAACGTTAGAGGGTGACAGCGGAGAGCGCGAAAATTTTAATGACATTCAAATTAAATTATAATTTCAAAAGTTTCGCGGCACAAGGCGGGAGTGAGGCGTTGCTGATGACGACGATGACAAGGACATGACCAGGTGGTGGGCCAGGTGAAAGCGTACCCGTCCGCCACCTGCCACAAGCCACCTGCCACCTGCCACCTGCCACCTGCCACATCCTCACCCTCCACTCCTCTCCTCTCGGGTCAGCTTCGTTGGCCAAAGGTCAAAGGAGAGCAAAAAAAAAGGTTTGGCCACCCCTCCTCAACCTCCCCGTGGCTCCCAATCAACTCGCTTTTCCTGCCTCCCCCTCCCCCTCGCTTGTTTATTTTCCTTACGTTTGTTTTCAAAATTTGGCTGGAAAACATGGCCGACGACGAACGACAAAACGAACGGTAAAAGCCAAAGGGTAAACAACACAAAAGCAAGCGAAACAAAAACAAAGATGAGAGACACCGAAAATGTAGGTTGCCAAAAAAAAAAAGGAAAAAGAAAGGAAAGGAAAATATGGAAAACTCTGCTCAGGATAACCGGGGGAAATAGAAGAAAAGTTAACTGTGTTTTGTTTGTGTTTTCATTTTTGTTGAAGGGGTTTGAATGTTTGTCATTCTTCTTTGTTTTCTCAGATATTGTAAGGACCCAAGATATAATTTATAATTTTTATTAACAATGCAGCTTTTCTTGCCCCTAAAATTCTTCTATTCCTAAGTTTCTTCTTGTCTTGTTTTTTACTAATTTAAATTTTACAAAAACTAAACGCAATCTTTCGCACTTGAGTAGACCAATAATACTGCTTTTCTATTGAAATTTTCCCCAAATTTCATACTCGGCGAAAAAGCGCAATTAACTATTTTGTAATTATAAAATGTTCATGTACATATTTTATCCAGAATTTATGTTAGTTAGCGAAACATAAAATGAATAACCGTAACATAAATTCTAAGAAGCACAACATTTTAATCTAAACAAAAAGGATTTATTTAAGTTAAGCTTTAGGGCAACAGATTTTTAAATAGTAATTTTAATTATCTGACATAAGCACAATATTCTGGATAATTACAAAACATAAACAAAGATTGAAAAATAAATTGATTAAATTGCTTGCAAAGCAAACTCAACCTGTGTCTAGATTTTCTGACAGTGCACTGGAGCCGAAATGTGTATGGTTTAATTGATGGTTTGAAGAGGGTAGAGACTCCAGTCAGACCGCCAGTCAG